GGAAAATCACTGCGACAAGGCTTGCCTGTGACTTGGCCGATTAGCTGGTGCGAATGTGGTTGCTCCTCCACTGGGGCATCGGCATTGGAATTAATGGTGTGGTCCCACTTGCACAGATAAAGAGATGCTGTACGTAGATGATGAAGATCAACGGCCAGTATCTCTGACTCCTTTGACCACTCAACTTTGAACAAATGGAATTAAACCACCAGTACTTGGCCCAACTATCGGCCCCAGGAAAAAAAATAGAGTAGAAACGTTTCTAGTCGGATGAATTTGGGCGCTCCTGTAGTGTGGCCCGTACGCTTCCTAAAATCGTGGCTTGTTAACGGGCACGAGTCTAGGGTTTTAAACCACCAGTACCTTTCTCAGCTATCGAAGCCGATTCTGAGTCTGAAAATGCCCTGCGTGCCGACTTCTGCGGAGCCTCGACCGGCAAAGCGGCGTTTCATTTTTTGGGAGTACCACGGTGGGTACCGGCTGATTTTGGGATTTCGGCCTCCCACTTGCAACGTATGATGAAGATCAGCGGCCAGTATCTCTTATTACTCCTTTGACGAGTTCGTTTTGAAAAGATGGGAACAGATTTAGACGAATGTATGTCCACTTCATCAGGTATCATGCGGTGGAGCAATCAATGCTGTTCAGGGTTCCTTCGGCCAGATGGAAGGAAGCGTGTGTATTTATGTTGCTGTAATCCATGACTTGCCGGTGGCAAAGGAACCGGACTGACGCTCCCCAGAATGGATATGGAGCCAGGACCATTCGGCCCTATTTTTTTGCAAAAAAAAAAAGAAAAAAAAAGAAAAAAAAAGAAAAAGATTTAATAATTTAGACGCTTGATAGCGTTAGGGAACATGATGTAAACAAATTTGTATTGCCAAAACCGATTTCATCCAGCAATCAACCGATTTCAGACTGTACAGTGTACACATACCATTCGGACGGGTGAAAATACCAAATTAGTCAAACAGTTTCCCAAGTAAGTCACATGCTCTGAATCATGGGCCTAGGGCTCACGTAACCTTTTTGATCGGATAAGTTTCGCGGTAGACCTTTTGAATCCATCCTTTTACACGTATAGGCAGTGGCACCAAAAACCCTGGTTGATCGCATCAATCAAATTCTGCTGCCCTCCCACTTCCTCACGTCAAACATGGGTCTTGATAGGCCCAAAGACCCATTCTGCGGCATTCAAGAAAGGAGAGTGTGGAGGAAGGTAGAGACAAATGTACCCAGCTTAGTCAATCGTCCTCTACACATCCCCGGTCCAGTGAAATGGAACATTGTCAATGATATTCGCCCTTGGCTGGTCCAAAGCAGGCGAGAGCTTTGTCTCTATGAGGTTCAGGTATGTGTCAGAATTGAGCGCTCCTACTGTAGTCTGATTTCAGCAGCTATCGAGCCTTCTCTTGTGATCACAACAACTAGTGACAATTTTTTTCTGCTCCTCTGCGTAGGTCTAGCTGTAACTGCGCCTATCACCTCGACGCACTCTTCCATATTGCCGAGTGAGATGAAGGTTGAATCTTGCCTCATCTACGTAGACCGCATTGAGCATAGATATGCCCAAGTCCATCACTTCCTGTGGCCCTTCTTGCCCCTCCCGCATTCTGTCTTCGCAGTTGTAATCCTCAGGCTCCCAGTGAAGCAGCTTCAATGAGTAACCTGCTTGGCGACGAATGTCTCAAGAGACAGTGGACAGTGTGACTGGCCGCCGAAACTCAAACCCTGCATTGAGTTTGTTGCAAAGCTCCTGGATTGTGCAGCTTGGATTCCAATCCACCTGCTGTCGTACCCCCTGAATATGCACTCCCAAGAACAGGAAACACTTTCCCTCCTCGCCTCTTGTTTGCCTCTGTGCCATCAGTCTCGAACATGACAGCAATACTGTGCACCGTAGTGGGCGAGGGACTGCAAAGCGTACGGCAGTCTCAGCAACCACGAAGATGGATTCAATGATCGTCTGCCTTTGAACATTGTCTATGCGGTTGTACCTGCCTCGCTTGCCTCTACCGGGAATAGTCGTTTGCACAAGTGGACGTGCAGGATTCGGCATGCGTGCAGGACTAGAGCACTAGGCACGTGAACGCACAAGGCGCGTGATGGAGGCGGCACAGAGCAGGTGTGTGGATGCACGGCTGGAGCACAAGGCATGTGAATGCACGAGGCCCGTCATGCAGGAGGCACGTGGGTGGACACACAACACGACCTTGATCTATGCCAAAGCTTGTCCCAGCCATGTACAAAAGGCCTACTAACCTCTTTTTTTTTTTCTTTTTTTTTTTTTTTTTTTTTTTTTTTTTTTTTTTTTTTTTTTTTCGGAGAGTTTGCACAAAAGAATGCATGACTGGTCTCTTCCCCAACTCCAAGTTCGGAGTCTTCAGAGTCTTGTTGAATTTTTGGATCGTCTGAAACCGACGAGTCCGTGTGCGGTTGTATGACAAATCCGTGATCCTTCCGACATGTTATAGGTGTGAATTGCTGTCATAGACTGTCAGCAAAGTGCTGCTAGCTGTGCCTCATTGCGTGCCTCATTGCATTGCAATGAGTTGCTGGTTCCAGTGGCCTGTAGCCTCTCTCGTTGAGGCTGTACCATAGGTAGGACAGATTCGTAATTTTGTTTGGCTGAGGGCTAACCGAGGGACCTGCCTGTAAGGAAAATTTGAGAGGGACATATCTGCAAATTCGGGAACACACAGGCCCGTACTAACTAGAACTTCCTACAGCTACCCCAACTGCGCATAGCAGGCCCGGGCTACCCCTAGGACAGACGGGCTCTACGGGCCTAAGCTGATAGACGGTCCTATAGCCTATAGCCGGGTAGGGAGAGGCCCTAGAGGCCGAAACTGAAACGGTACCAGTCGGTCCAGTCAGTCCGGTCTAGGTCGTGTCTAGGCTAGTGTAGGTTATAGATAGGATGAGGACATCGGTTCAGGGCTTTTTGGCAGTTGGTACTGTGCACGTCGCGGCTGTGCAACGCGTGAACTGGACGTGGTGACAGCTTCAGCGTTGGAGGAGACGGACATAGCCAGACCTGCGGAGTGTCGGCCATAGCTGGGACCGGCCCTGTACTCTGACAGCACGCGGGGCTGTTCAGAGGTCTGGGCTACTTGAAGTCTGCTGGAGGTGAGAGAAGTTGGAGCCCTGCTGAACCCTCCTCAGGAGTAGGGTGTCAGGGTGTGTGGCGCTGCAGCCATAGCTGCAGCTTCTTCCTCAGAGGTCATCTTGTCAGGAGAGGTGGCGCTGCTGTAGACTTCCAGCCGGGAAGTCATCCGGCGCTTCATCATCATCAGACACTGTGGCGCTGGTCTTCTTCTTCATCCTCTGAGAAGCGCTTGGCCTCAGAGGCCTGCTTCAGGGTGGCGCTTCCCTCTGGAAGCAGTGTCTGGGTGGCACTAGTTGTTTCAGGGGCTCAGGGGTGGTATAGCTGTTACTCAGGGTGTGGGGAGTGAATTGCTGCTCATTTCTGAGCAGCGCACCATAGTTCTGGGGTTATTGTGGCAATTCGAGACTGAGTTTAATAAACAGTGTTGATACTGGGTTTGGACTATCATTGCTTCATTGTTTCCTGGATGTAATCTACTCGGCTTTCCTTTGTGACTGGTTGTGAGGATTCTGTGGAGCGAATTGCACTGTCAGTGTTTTCTGTCATATCGCATGGTCAAGTCTTCCACTGTGTTTCTCTCTCCCTGTGTGGTGTGATAGTCCCATCCTCTCCCCTTCCTTCTGTGTATGTATGGGCATACCTGGAAGTCTATGTGAGCGAGTGTTGGTCATTTGACAATAAGCAACCAGGTTCATAACAGCATAATCCACTGCCGTGCTGCCGTCTCGGCGGACCTTGCTCTACACCCAAGCTTGTTTGCACAGCAGCCGAGTACGACACATTGGCTTCGATAGTAGACGAGCTTTTGGTCTGTAGCCACCCCGTTTGGTTTGCCCTTGAAACCCGATGGTGGCTGCTGCATGGGAATTTACCCATCCTTTTTGGGGGGGGTTACTTGCAGCACCCGCATGAATGTCATCCTTGATCTTGTGGCCGTCGTCCATGATGGGCAGAGGCATGGGCCATGGAACCGGATGGTGGCTGCTGCGTGGGAATTTCCCCCTCCTTTTTTTTGGGGGTAACTTGCAGCACCCGCATGAATGTCATCCTTGTTCTTGTGGCCATGTGCACCCGTCCATGATGAGCAGAGGCATGGGTCATGGCTGGCCGATGGTCTACTTGCAGCACTTGCATGAATGCCATCCCCCTTGATTTCTGTTGACTGTGTGCGCAGCCGCCCATGATGAGCAGAGGCATGGGTCGTGGCTGGACCTCGTATGGAGGAAGCGAATGATGGCCTACTTGCAGCATCTGTATCATTGTCATCCTTGAGCTATGTGGTTGTGAGCACACCTGTCCATGATGAGCAGAGGCATGGGCTATGGCTGGACCTCTTGGGGAGGAAGAGAATGATCGTCTCTGCTCCGTGAATGACTGAGGAGGTGGGAACCTGTCTCTGTTTCCTTGCTCTTGTCTTGACAAGGTGCCTTTCGCTTTCTTAAATTACCACTACCTGGGAGGGTCTCCTGTCTTCCAGAGTGGCAATAATGGATGGGTGCAATAGGCCCAGTATAAGTGTGGTGGCAGGCAGGCTGCAAACAGCAATCAACAGTGGAGGCCCTTTGGAATGACAAATGTATAAGCCTCCTCTCAAACTGATCTTCCCCTCTGGGGCTGCCAGAAACGTCGTCAGTACCTGGCCTTTCCGAAGTCTGTTGGACTCAGTTGGAGGTAGTGGTGGTTTTAATTTTTAAGTGCATACTGTGTTTGGCAAAGAAGGCTGTAACACTGGGCATAACTTATTGGCTGTGTGCTTACTGTCAAGTCCAGCTCTTCTCATCTCTAATACCAAATTCGCTGGTGTCATTGTGGGTTGGATAGGCAGCCATGCATCAGGAATAGAAGTCATTACGGGGAGGGCTTCCACAGCTAGCCCTCGAGGATGGGCCACGGAGGAGGAGGAACTGAGAGGCGTTTGGTCGCAAAGGGAGATGGCACAATTATCATAGTGGAGGAACCACCAGGGAAACAGCCACGGAACATGGCAGTGCCTCCCCCAAGGCCAGTGGGGAGAGAAATTGGGAATGGGAAGATGGGTCCTATACGACCTGGTGATATTGGAAGCCGACAAATGCCTATCAACATTGATGAAGATAGCTCATCAGCAGAGGAGCGGCCATGCAACTGGAATGGAACAATAATGAAACGGCCTCTTTCCAAGGAGGAAAAAACATTTTCAAAACCGGTAAGACATGAGTCTACTACAACTTTTGCGTTGCAGTGTAGTCTGCAGAACCTGCCTTGCCCTCAGCATCACAACCCCTTGCCCTTTCTCTTCTCTCGTCCAATCTGTGGCATGCATGTATCGATCGTCCTGTTTGGCTATCTAGGGTATGCCTTGGTTGATTGTGTGTGCACCTGTGTTTTGAACATTCCTTTGCTTTTGAGTAATAGTAAAATGCCTCTCCTCCGCTTGCCCTCCGAGCTGTGGGAGATGGTCGCCCATTGCATGGCTCTTCAACCCGAGTACCCTTGTGTTGTGGCGTGCCTGATGCAGTGGAATTTGCTTACACTCTGTCCCAGAATAATGCGTAGATGCCTTTTGCTTATGGTGGAGTTGTTTACTACTGTCCGATTGGTCATGCCTTGTCATAATTATCTATAGGCAATTATGCGCTTTTTGTTATGCCAGCCTGTCCTTCTGAAAGGGGGCTCGAAGAGTGTCTTGTTAGGCGTCTCAAGCAATAGCGCCACTGGTATTATGGGGGGGTTCATGGCACAGGCCCTCGCCAGGTATCATGGGCGGTCATTCAGCTCAGTGTTTTTTTTTTTTTTTTTTTTTTCAAAGCAGAACCTCCTAAACAGAAGAAGGGTTTTGGGTTTAAAAGTTTTTAGAAATCCTCCAAAAGGGACAGAGAGGTGTGTCGAGAAGTTACAGCCCGGCAAGGCCTCCGAAGGGGTTCTGTTTAGGGATAAGGGTGCAAAGGTAAGAGAGACAGTGGAAGACAGACCTAGCTCTACCAGTAATTCACACAGATTTGACAGCCTTACAGCTGAGAGGCAGAACTAGGGAAGCCCAGATAGTTCAACAGACAATCACCATAACACTGAGTTCACAACTCCGGTGAGGCTTTACAAGCCCWAGGTTACGTCAAGAGGCTAACTTAGGCAGGGGTGAATGATGGTACATCCTTCCCACGGGAAGTAATCAATGCCGTCCTTCGGGCCTTCCTACCATAAAGGGGAGGAGCGTGTGTGAGTAACCTTTGTAATCATTTCTGACTTGCCGGTGGAATAGGAACTGGACTGATGCTCCCCAGAATGGAAAAGGAGCCAGAACCGTTAGGTTCTGTTTTGTCGAAAAAAAAAAAAAAAAAGAACCTCCTGGTTCTGGCTTCTAGTTCGAGCTGGAGGTGAGGTTTCCATGGGCTGTGCCTTTCAGAACAAGTGACTTGGTAGAGGCACAGGGTGCTTTAGTCAGGATGGCTTCTGGTGTGGGACGCATGCCTCATGCCCTGGATATATATTGTGAGACTGTTCTGTACCTCTCTTTGATCTCACCCTGCAGGAATAGAACTGGTGCCTCTTGCTGAACAGCTGTATGCTTTAACCACTGCAACTGTGATGCAGTGTTCAAAATTGTAGCCATACCAGTCGTGATATTGCCGCCGCCCTGCATGGCTGCAGTATGGTCCCTTACCCATGCCACGAAGTGGAGCCATACCAGTTGTGACATCCACGTCACCCTTGCATGGCTGCAGTATGGTCACTGGCGATATGACATCACTCAAGGCCCTCGTGCTGGGCACATGGGCTGTTGCATACTCGTGAACACAGACATAAGTATAGCGCAGAATCCCATAACCGACCAGAGCAAATACAATTACAGCAGAAGACTTGATACACATAGATTGACTCAAACCTGACGCAGAATGCAACGAATCCCTCACAAACATGCATCGGTGGTGTGAAAGCCCTGGCCTTGCACATGGAAGACAAGGCCAGGGTCCGACCTCATACACAGATGAATGGAGGGGAAGAGAGACGAAGGGAGGAGGAGAGGGAAGATGACGTCAACCCAATGTCTCCAAACATAGTATCTCGAAATGTCATAAACAGCGAAAATCCGAAATGTCGCGAATACAGAGTCTCACAGTGTCTCAGATATCGATCTCCTAATGCCAAGATACATCTCCAGAGGTAGATGAAGTCGGAGCCCCAAGAGTCGTCCTCAACCGAAAGTCTCAATGTTGCTATCTCTGATATCATCAGAACTCGTAACCATCCTTCATACTCGTAGTAGTCGAGTAGGAGTAACCCAAGAAGTTGACTTAGACTTAGAGGGCAGGAGGAGAAAGAGGGCGGAGGAGGAGAGGAAGAGAAGAGAAGAGGAGGAGGGAGAAAGGTGAAGCCTTTCTCCCTGATACCTGAGTGACCGAGCTGTCCCTGCCGATGTCCGCTGAGGCCGAGCCTGGCGATGCAGCTATGGCGCTGCAGAGCTGGGCGCTGGGCTGCGGGCTGGCCCAGCGAGGTGCCGCTGATCGCAGCCGCGCTAATCCTCCTCGCTGCTGCGCTAATCCTCCTTGCGACTGCGCTAATCCTCCTTGCTGCTGCGCTAATCCTAATGCCAAAAACGCTGTCCTGGACTAACATAACCTACTGAGGCTGGTACCCGGCTGATATAGTGCTGGGCCGGCCTCTAGGCTGCTGGTATCTTCGGGTCTGGACCGTTGCTCAGTCCAACGGTTCAGATCCGATCCGTAAATCTGAAAAGTGGCGCGTAAACTTGGCCGCCTTCAAAACTCCGCCACCGGTAGGTCCTAGTGTTGGACCGGTACCGGCCAGGTCCTTGTTGGCCTACTCGGCCTCTGGTCCGACCTACCGGTCTGAACCGACGTGACCCCTGACCCTAGGCCTAAACTAAGCCTAACTACGGAACCGGGCGCTAACTGGGGCCTGTGTGGTGTCAGAATGCCACATGGGCCCTCATCATACCAGTTGTGACATCCATGTCACCCGTGCATGGCTGCAGTATGGTCACTGGCGATATGACATCACTCAAAAGGCCCTCCTGCAGGGCACATGGGCCCTCATCATGTGGCCACCTGGTCTTAATATGATTTCCTGGCTAATTGCTGCAGTAATTACTGTTCTGTGATTTTCTGTGATCCAATCCTGAACGGAATCTGGGGATCTCTGGATCAACAGCTGGATGCCTTAACCGCTGCAAGTGCGACTAGAGTGTTAAAAAACGGAGCTATCGCAGTTGTGACATCCACCCCACCCCTGCACGGTGCCAGTAAGATCACCCACTCACCCACATAACATCACTTGAGAACCTCCTGCACGGCACATGGGCCCTCCTTACGCAGCCACCTGGTCAGGCAGGGTATGATTTCTTGACTAGTTAGTTACTCCCTTAAGTACTTTTCAGTAGTTATCTTGAATCCGACTCTGGATGGTGTCTCAACAGGCGGATACATCAGCCACTGCAACCGTGACATGGTGTTAAAGGTAAAGCCACGTATCAGTCGTGACGTCCGCTCACCCATGCACAGCTGCAGTATGATCACCCACTCCTGCATATGACATCACCCAAGACACTTCTGAAGGGTACATGTGCCCGCCTCACACAGCCACCTGGTCGGGGTGGTGTCATTTCCTGGCAAGTTGCTGAGGTAAGTAATGTTCAGTACTTCTCTTTGATATGAGCCTGCCCAAAGTTGAACTGGGCATCGTGGCTCAATAGCCGAATGCTTTAACAACTGGAACAGTGATGTAGTGTTAGAAAGTTGCGGCATACAGGTCGTGACATGGTCCCCATAGGCGTGTGCAGCTGCAGTATGATCACCCATTCACGCACACAACATCAGTAGAGGCCCTCCTCGTGTGGCCACCTGGTCCAGATATGATTTCCCGGCTAGTCAGCCGTCGTTGGTATTCCTTCCTGTGGTTTTTCTTATTGTGTATTTGCTTATTTGTTTTTCTCTTATTTGCAAAAAAACATTGGTTCATTCCTGGTGAATGATCGCCCACTCCACATGGTCGTTGGTATTCCATCCTGTTCATCCTGTTATTTCGCAAGCAAAGCTGCAACAGGTCATCTAGTTGTTGTAATTCATTGGTTACTTGAAGAGGAGGAAGAAGATGATGAGATGGGGAGGAAAAGAGGGAGAAGACGTTGGTTCCAACTTGTGTAATTCTCCTTTGTCCATGCTTGTCATTCTATTCCTCTTCTTTTCTGAGTTCAGCAAGTCTTGCATTTTCTCTCATTTGAGTTCCCTATTACTTGTTTGATCCTTAGCCGGTGAATTTTTCTTGTTGTTTTGGGTTGTGGCCAAATGGACCATGGATCGGATACTGAACGGATGAGAACAGATACTACATTCGATCTTTAGCGAGAAGGCTGAGAAAGGTATGCTGGTGACGTTGTACCTGGAGCATTCTATGGTCTAGGACTGCTGCAACTCATGCTTTGTTCTGTTCGTCAATCATTGTGGTCGTGGATGCAACTGTGCTGTACAATGACGATGATTGATAGAAGGGTTATCTGTGGTGTTTCTGGGCTCTTGTTTGGCTGGTGATGGACTCTGATTGAAGTTAGCGTTTGATTGCAACCACATTGAAACAGGAGGCTCCGGGTCACCAAGCACAGAAAGAGCGAGGTGGGAGAGAGCGATGTCTGTAAGTTCCCATCCTTGTACAACATCACTACAACATCTTTCTTCTTATGTGTGTAGCTTGCGCTGACAGCTTTCCTTTCCATATCATGTCAGGGTCTCAGGTGAACAGATGCAGAAGGTGATGGAAGTAAGACTTTGAGAATGTCTACTTAAACTCCACAGTTTGCTACAAGTGCACATGATGGGGCTCTCTTTAAACTGTCAGTTTTGGAAGAAGGCGCCACCACCCAGCCCATGTGGCTGAATGGTACATCCATGTAACTCTTGATAAACAGATTGAAGTTCAAATCTCGATGTACTCAGATGAATGAATTACTGCAACTCTGAATTACCTGGAGAGGGTCAGTTCTACCTCAAGACCATCACCCTCTTATCAACGAAAAATGAAAAAAAGAGAGAAAGAAGGTGCCTCAAAATTTTGTTTGCCCTAATGTCGTCTCTGATAGCATTTCACTATGTAACACTGCATCGCCTGATTGCCACTCTGCTCAGTTAATCTGGTATTTGTTTATTTCGGTCTACAGATTCCATGGGCGGTGGTGTTTTGATTCTTTGAAATATTTTCTTGGGAAGATAGATGGTCGGATGCAACATTGGTTTGGGGGGGCCGGTTGCTCCATATGGATGCAATGTGTTGAAGGGAAAATGTTGTTCAAAGGAGGCAAGGTTATGCTGGCTTCTTGTGATTACAACTCAGCACCCCCTGGCCTCTGGGAAGGCCCTTTCATCAAAGTGCTCTTACGTGCCTGAGGGGATTCCTGTGATGCGCTTTAGTGTGTTATGCGGGGGCTTGCTCTCCTCGATACAACGCAATGAAGGGAAAATTATATAGAGCAGGATAGCCGCTTGTCAGGACTCTGTGACAGGCTGGTTTCAGTTATCTTCATGTCCATCATTGGAGGTTAAGCAAATGGGGCTCATATGTAGCGGTGATAAGGCAGGCATAACCATAACTCTGTTCTTGTTCAGCCTTTGGCGATTAATAGAAAATCTGTCCGTCCAGTTTTAGGATTCTTGTGAAATTGTGGAGTGCTGCTTTGCTGATGATGTTAATAAGACTCTCGTCGGAGGGGTAGATGTGCTTATGGAAACCAAGGAGAGCTACATAGGGCCAATGCTAAGGACATGTGGGGTGGGTGCATCCTGTGTACGATGGTCGGTGTCAATACTGGAAAGTCCCTGCATGTGGGGCCTGTAGTATTTTTGCACCGAACCAGGCCCTGTGCGTATGCTACAGAGAACACGGCTTTGCAAGGGATGAATTGGAACAGATTTTAGCTGTTTCATCTGATCACGTCTCTTTAGAAAGTGAATAGAGGTGGTTATATGCTGCGGCTTCCTTAGTGGTAAAGGAATGTGGCACTCACTAGCAGATGAGAATTTCTGAATTCAGATAATATTGAAGGGTGTACCATTTCTCTCTTTTTCATGAAATGTTACGGCAGCTAGCAAGCGACATATGAATATACACCTCTTCTTTTGACAAATGCTTTGCCTACCCCCTTTGTCCTTGCAGGATATGTCGGCGTGCAGCGTGCTTGAAGGGTTCGAAGCTACTTCGCTGCAATTTGTGCCCACGGTCTTGCCACATGGGTTGTCTGAGCTCTTCTGGGGTAAGGGTGCCCAGGCAGACCCCAAGTTGGCTGCTTGTGATAATGGTGTCACTATCAAACTCTTGAATGCTTTGGCAAGCTGGCTATGATGTTGTCTTGCTCATTTGCACACCTGTGGATTGGTTATTCAATAAACGAGCACGGCTTGACTCATATAAACCTGCAGTTCTATGATGAGAGACCAAAAATGTGTCGACTCTGGTTTTCTGGCATGCGAATTTGGCCACATGGAGTTAGTGTGTGTGGTCCCTTCTCACCCTTGTTTGCAGCAGAACCTGGATGTAGAAAGGCAGAGAGTTGTTAAACTGTCACTCTATTTCAAAACCGCCCGGATTCCAGGGCCTGCATACTTTTCCTGGTGGCCCATGGAATCAGACCTGCGATGGCCATGGTACGAGGGAAAAGTCTGGTGGCCTCGGACCTTGGCACCTGTCCAAATACAAAGGTGGTTTAAATGACTCGATGAAATAGCTGGATGGACGCTAAGTGAGTTGAGCAAAACGTCTTGGGATAGGTCCTTTGTTTACAACATCCTTGTCTTGACCTTCATTCTTGTTGTTGCCGTTGTCCTTGTTGTCATTTCTCATTCTCTTAACCTGCTTTTTGTCACATATGTACGTTTATGTTTCCATTAATTTATGATTTATTAACAGTAGGTGGTAACACAAGCATATGGATTTATGACATACCAAAAAGGAGATGCTGACACAAGCATGTGGAGCACAACACTAGCCTTGTGGATCATATAGTTCAGACCCACTACCTGGTCACTTAGGCTGTGTGGTGCATATTGAGATTGATGAGGACTCTGAAACAGGTGTCTACAGAAGCGTAGCACTACTGCCCATCCTCCTTAATCTGAAATATGCTGATGTGATGTGTCCATGTGTTCTGGATTAGTGCCTTTTGGTCTTGTAAAAAGAATCTCTTTCTTTCACTGTCATCTGGGAGCTGAGTTGTCAGGTTGAAACAGTTGCGTGGGTGTTGGAACCACACAGTCCAAAGATTGAGAAGCAGGGGAAAAAAAAAAAAAAAACAGTCGAAATTTCCACAAAGCAACCCCCTCCTCTTTCCTCCATCACCGCGTGTGTGTGTGCTGTATTTGCGCGGTCCCATTGTGGCCCCTTCTCCTGCTCGTTTTCCCTCCTCCTCGATCGCCGTGGTCGTCGCCGTGGCGATGAGGGTCGTTGCCATCATCATTAGGATCACTCCTTCCTCCTGTGCTTCCATCCTCGATCCTCCTCCAGCCGTCATCATTTTTGTTCTACTCCTCCCCCTCTCCAGACCTCTCCTCTCCCTTGTGCGACCTCCCCCTCCCCCTCCTGCGACCTCCTGCTCGTCCTTGCACGACCTGCTCCTCCCCCTCACACATCGTCTTCTGACCTCCTCCTCCCCCTCTTCCCGCCTTCTCGTACCCCTCACGTGACCCTCTCCTCCACCTCGCGCAACCTCCTTTCCTTCACTCGACCTCCTCCCCCTCTTCAGACCTTCTCCTCCCCCTTGCTCGACCTCCTCCTCCCCCTCGCGCGGCCGCCTCCTCCCCCTCACGCATCCTCTTCCCACTCATCCCTCTTCCCCCTCGCAGGACCTCCTATTGCACGGCCTCCTCCTCCCCCTCTGACGTCCTCTTCCAACCTCCTCCTCTCCCTCGTGCGACCTCCTCCAGACTCTCTTCCGACCTCCTCCTCCACTTGCTCAATGTCCTCCTTCCCCTCTTCCGACCTCCTCCTGTGTGTGTGTGTGTGTG